TCCCGTGCCTCTTGGGCTGTAACTTGCAAACTAACACACCCCAAAGGCACCCCGTGGAGTGAAGGGCTCCTGTTTTACCCCCTTACCTGGGGCTCTCGGTGGCTGTGTCCATGTGCTGAGCGTCACTGCCAGGTGGAGCCGCCAGTCCTCAGGGCGGCCTTGCCACGGGAATTTCCTGAAGCAGAAACTTTTTCCTTCGGAGTAATTTTTGGTTGATTATTGCTTACATGTGCAATTAGTCTAATTGCATCTGATTATGCAAATGTATTGAATCGTATAATTAGAACGTGGGGCGAGGAGGTAGAATGCAGTCGGGGAAGCTTTTGTGAAGCTCCCTGAGCTCAGCGCGCCGTGCGCAGGGTGCCTGTTAGCGCTCCTGCCGTGGGCTGGAGGGTTTGGTTCAGCATCCAGGCAGCTCCAAAACACAGCTCAGCGTGCCAGCAGTTACTCCAGAGTTGGAATAACACCCTCCATGGTGTAAAGACTTAATTTTTTTTTTTATATGATGATATCAGGAGCCCACTGCCGAGCTCAACCCCGCCGTCTCACCTCTGCATGCATGCCTTGCCCCAGGACCAGGAAAGCACAGAGCTGGCTTCATCACCGAGGGGACAGTGAGGGAGAGGAGGGCGAGGATGGAATAATGTGTCCTCAGGGTGCTTGTCCTTTGTGGCTCGGGGACCGGGCTAGCCCTAAAACGCCTTTTCAACCCCCCTGCCTTGCTAAGACACGTAGACAGTAAGCAAAAGGAGGCAGAAATGACACATTTCCCAGGTAAAGAAAAGTGGCCGGGACATGTTTGTTGTCATTCAGGAAATGGGGCAGGGGCCTGAGCCCTGCTTTTCAGGTGTCTCACACGAGCTGGAATCGCAGAAATGCCGTTTCTTGTCATTCAGTGGTTGCTTTTAAAGCTGTGCTAGGAGCTTCACAGGAGCAATCAAAGGGCCTCTCTTTTATGATCTAATTTTCAGCTGTGGCACAACAGCCAGGCTCACTGCCAAGGACTGGGGAGAGGAAAAAAGACCTGAGTGATCAGAGCAGGACGGAGTGATTCTCAGCAAGACATGGCTGGGCTCTGCAACGAGGGCCTTGAAAAGCACGTGGATGGTGTGTGCGAAAAGCACAAACACTGCTTTCCTGTTTAGTCTTTGGTTTGTGGGAATTTCTCCTGGTTTTAGTCAGGGGCCTGTACCTGAAGCAGGTTACCCTTTTGCCAGGCACGTGGGCTGCTCTGCTGTCCGGCTGCCCTGATATCTCTGCAGGGTCGTGCTCTCTTTTTGGCTTTGTAGGTACATGAAACAACCTCCCTGGTTCTTGGTGTCTCACATGGGGCTCGTGGCAGCTCGGCTGTTGTCCTGGTGCATGAGAGGCAAATCCCCCATCAGCTCCTACATCCTGCAGATGTCTGGTCAGGTTGGTTGGGATTTGGGTGTGTGTACGAGGTTGTTGGCATCGGGGTGATGCACGTGCATCTCCCTCGTGTCAGGAGTGCCTAAAGTCCTGCAGACCCGGCTGCAGAAAGGGGAGCTCAGGAGACACTCCGGGATGGAAATAGCCATAGGCTGCGGTGTTTGGTGTGGAGAGACAGCCCGGGCTCTGAAAGGGACTCGCTGACCTAATATTTCAAAAATGTCATCTGAGGAGCACTTCAGGGCTTGGCTGCCCAGCCTCGGACTCGCCGCTTCTCTCCTTAAAGGGAGTTTCTGGTGCTGGCTGACAGCACCAGAGCAGATAATTAATCCGTGCTGTGCTGCTGCGGGGGAGCATCGGGAGGAAACCAAGCAGCAGGTGAGGTGAGGAGGGCTGGGCATGCCTAGGGCTGGGGGACTGCCCTGAAGGGTGCTGGTGCTGGCGGTGGCATCCGTCTGCAGGTCATCCCAGTACGTGGCTGGCTGGAAAACTTGCCCTGCCCCCTGACCTTGCTGCTGCATACCAAAGGAGCAGACAAAGCCCTCCGTGCTCTTTGGGACCTCTCTTTTGCCTCTGGGTCTTGCATAGTCAAGAGGCACCAAATGGGGTCGGCCTCCAAGCAGTGCTGCGGTGTGACGTGCCCCACGCTGTGCCTCCGGTCCCCAGGCTGTTGGGGAGGGCACTGCGGGCACCTGAGGGGGTCTCTGGCTCTGAGCAGGGGCAGGATTGCTGCCTGGCTGCTTCCCCTGCAAACTGCAGGTCTGGCTCCCGGTGCCTGAGCACGGGGCGAGTGTGTGCTCAGGGACAGAAAGGGGAAGCGGGACGGGGCGGGCTGAGCGCGGCGTCGTTCCTCTGAGCATGGGAACTGTGGCACGTGAAGCTCTCAAGTCATTTTCCTGGGCAGCCTGTAGCAAAATCAGGAAATGAAGCTGGAGATGCTGAGCCCAGGGCACTGTAACCTCCCCGTCCCTCCTGTGAGAACGTTTCCCGTTAGCCAAATGGAAACACCAAGCAGCAAACCAGCTCTACCACCTCTCCTTTTTCAGACAGTGCTTGGAAAGTACGTTATGGAGCAGCAAAATTAATTACGTTTGCTCATCTCCTGCTCCCACGTACAATACAGAGACATTTCTCCAGAATCAGATTCCCTCTAAAAGCTTGTCTTCTGCCGTGCTCTGCTCGGTGCCTATGAGGGAAACGTGCAGCCGCTTGATAAATACGCTGCGGAAAACACCGGCGAGGCGGCTGTCTGCCTGCAGGAGAGGAATAGCTGGAGGGAGACCCAGTAAATAAGGTATGTGTAAGTGAATTAATTCTGCTCATATAAGCTTGTTTGCAGCTTCAGTTCCTGTCTGGAGCACAGTGCCCAGCTCTGCAGGCAGCAGATCGCTGTTTGGGAGAAGTGATTGCCTTTTGTCCAGGGCATCCTGCGTGGTGAGGCTGCTCTGGGTGTGACTGATCTGCTCGCTCACAACCCGTTCTTTTCTGATAGCCTGCTGGAGGATTTAGCTGTGGAAAGGAATCCTTCAAACCAGTAGAATCCGAACCAAGTCCCAACTGAACAGATGAACAATGGCTCTCTCGAAGCCTCGCTGGATTTCTTGCAGAATACTTCCAGCAGCGCTGTGTCGTGCTGCGATGCTGGATGGATCTGTTCGGTTTGATCTGGTGGACTGGTTATGGGGTTGGTGTGAAGCTGGGAATTACCCGAGGATTCACTCTGAAGCTTTGGGAGGCCAGCAGGTGAGCTGTGTGCTGCCCCCTCGCTTGGTGCTTCCCTGGTCCCCAGTTACAGACGTTTGTCATGGGGAGTGACCAGAAGGGAATGGGAGCGACACAGCCCAGCCCTGCAGGTGGAGCACAAGGAAGGCGGCTTGGGAGGCAGTGGGGCAGCTGCAGGCTGGCCATTTGCCCTGACCTGCTGGCCCTGTGTCAGGCCAGAAGCTCTCCAAGTGCAGAGCTCAGCTGGCAGCAGAGCACGGCAGGTTTCACACGGGTGCGTTTTGAAGGACAGGGATCGGTGCTGAGCCAGCTCGGGGCTGCAGCTGGCTCTGGAGCAGCCTGGTAATAAGGACAAGTTAGGGGGCATGGGGCTGGGAACAGGGGCTGTGGGGGAACCTGGAGTGGGGGTAGGCTGGAGAGGAGAGGGGAGGTCCTGCAAAGGGGCTGGCACACTGGTTTTTCTGTGGGGTTGGGGGCTGCTGGAGCCCAGCGCCCCTTCCCCTGCTGCTGCTGCCACCCCCCGCTGCCCTGCCTCCTGCTCTGAAAGGATTTGTGCTCAGGGATTGAAGGGTTTAAATATAGTTTTAATAGAAGCTTTTAAAGCTGATTTCACCGTTTCATTACTGCTCCAAGTGACTGACGTTCCTGTCAATTTGTTTCAAACACGCTGCAGAAAAGACAGGAGAAGGGGGGAAGATTATTCCGGGATGGAGACGGAGAGGAGGGAGGTGAGCAGCGGGCCTGTGGGGAAGAAAGATCGTGTTGGGGGTGGATTTTTCCTCCCTGTGACACTCGGTGCATGGCGTGGTTGGCATGCAACCCGGGGCTATGCCTGTCATCCAAATTGTCCTCCAGTTTCTGTATTGCTATGGAAGATTTGCTGGAGTTTGGCTGCTGTGCATCTGCAGGGCACTCAGAGGTCGTTCCCTGCAGCAGCACCCAGCGGGAGATGTTCACCCGAGCGTCGCTGGGCAGCTCCAGGCCGGGCTCGACCTCTGCTCCCTGCCCCTGCCTGGGGAGCCTGCCGGTGTTCCCAGCCTGGTGGCTGCCTGCAGCCTCCTGAACTCGCCTGGCCTCCCCTTCCCTGAGTAAACTGAGCGTGGCCAGCGTAAAAGCAGGGCCCTGTGAGTGTTCCCTGCCCTGTGTGGGTATTTATGCACACAAACCAGAGGTTGCAGGCCTCTTCCAAAGGCCAGGACAGAGCCCACGTGCCGACGAGCACAAAGCTCTGGTGAGCTGCAGCTCCGGGCAGCTTTTATGTATGGTGAGCACTGAAACTGCAGGGTGTTTGCACATAGGCTGCAGCCACGGGGGCCAGAGCAGACCCCAGACCCACAGACCCGCTTTTAAATCCCACCTCGGCTGGTGAGGGAGCTGCACAGGGGAACTGGCTGCTGGGGAGCGAGTCGGTGGCCGTGGCTTGGCTTCCAGGCAGCTCTGTGACACCTGTGGGGCCATGCAGGGCAACGGAGCCTGCTGGGGAGCCCTACATGGCTGTGGACTGGGTGTGCTGCGTGCTGCCTTTGGCCGCGTACCAGCAGCTCTTGTCCCCTGTAAGTAAGAATTGAAGAGGCCATCAGGCTGACCCTTTCCCCTTGGCTGGGGAGAAGCCGCACTTCCCCTTACTGTAAACGCGGGCTGCCCCGCTGGAGCTGCAGAAGTTCTCTCTGCCTGCGTGTCACACAGATAAAATCTCAGCCTTATCGCTCGTGGAAGTTCCTGCAGGCAGCGCAGTGCTCAGGCCGTTGCCTCTCCTGGGTGACACCGCTCACACCTCGCCTGTCCTGCTGGGGGAAGGAGCCAGGAGCTGCCTCGGCTGTGTCTGCTGAGCACCATTAGCACCGTTACCTCTCTGTGCTTCCTTCCAGGTGTCTCGTGGAGCTGCTCCTCGTGCCGCATGCTGCCGGTGAGCGCTGGTGTCACTGCTCTGCGCAGCGCTGCCTGAGCCGGGCCCTGGCGATGGGGGACTCCCCGACCAGGGGCACGGGCACGCACTGCCCGGACACGCAGCTGGAGCTGGCAGAGCGCGTCGCAGCCATCGCTGTGGCCGTTAGCCCAGATAGAAGTAACCAAAACGGTGAGGACAACGGCGAAGAAAACGACACGGTCTTCGCTGAAAACATGAAAGACATCCAGAGAAACGGAGTCAGCGCTGACGTGGGCGCGAAGGAGTTCCTGCCCTCCCAACGGCCAGACGATGCTCACTGGAGGCATGGTTCCAAGAGACCTCTGGCTAGACCTGTCCTCTCCAGCAGGAAGCTGTCTCTCCAGGAAAGATCGTCGGGAGGTTATTTGGCATCGAAGCAACTCCCCGGGTTTCGGTGCTTATGCCACGGGGCCATCACCGCGGATAATGAGGAGACCAACGATCGAGTCCAACCGCGTCTCCATCTCGGATGCCTGAGGTAGGCACGTTGCGTGTTCTGCCCCTAACTGCTGCTGGGGGAAGCTGTAACTGATCACAGCAGCCTGTAGTCTTTTGAAGCAGGAAATCTGAGAGCAGCCTTTATTCTAAGGGGAAAAAATCCCTGAAAGCAGGGATTATGCTGGCTTGAAACGGCTGGACACCTTTACATCCATCCCCACACCTCACACGTGGCTTCTTCAGGCCCTCGTGGGGCTGGGACCCCCGGTGTGAGGGGCCGGGCCCTCTGCTGTGTAGCAGTAGTGTGCAGGAGCCCCGGGAGGCTGCTCAGAGAAAGGGCTGTGGCCAAACGGATTTGCTTTGTGTCCCTGCAGCGCGCGCCCTTTGGGGGTTTATCAGTCAAGGCAGCTTTGCCGCTGGTATTTTATGGATTTAAGCTTCTGGAGATTATGTATCTCCTATTATGTTTTGCCATTATTGAGTGCCTGATTTAATTTTATAAAGAGCTTAAATGCACTGGTGTTTCCTGCTCCTGTCAGGATTTTCTCTTGTCTGGAAGCGTTCGCACGGCTTTGTAAGAGCAGAGGCAGCTGTGGGCCGTGGCCCCGTCCCTCCGAGGGGTTGCTGTGCTGGCTGCAGCCCCTCCTGGCCCTGTCCTGCAGATGGAACTGAAACTTCAGCATGGCTTCCTTGGGAACTCAGGGGTGATAGAACTGGAGAAAATGGGCGTTACTTGAAGCAAAAATGTTAAGTCGTACCAGTTGGGAGGATTTTTTACATAGGGAATGTGCAGCCTGGTGCCCAGCGTCAGCTCTCGGGTGCTGCCACATCGCTGCAGTGCTCCCTGGTGCTGCGATGCCCCCCCTGTGATGCCTAAATCCCACTGCGGGTCCTGCCCTGTGTCCTCAGCAGCCAAAATCACCGGAATTGAGACCCGGAGCCTAACACAGGTGGCTTAGTGCTTCCTTCCTGCAGGCAGGTGTTTTCTCTGTGCATCTGAGAGGACAGTGCTGTGCACCAGCAAATCAGCCACTGCCCACTGGGACCGTTTGCAAGTCACAGTAGCTGGGAGGTGGGTGATGGCTGGGAAGTGGATTTCTGCCTGAGATGAGCTGCAGAGATTGCAGCTCCTCTGACGACAGCCCTGAGCTTTAATAAAAGGGACGGGAGGGCGAGGAGCCAGCTCCTGGGAGCGGCCGTGAGCGCTGTGCTGGAGCTCCCCTGCTGCGGTGCTTGGCTGTGCCGGGAGCGGGGCTTGTCCAAGATCTGCTTCCAAGTATCTGCAGTCCAGGGCGAGTCTAGCATGCTCCAGGCTGAAAGGAAATCGAAAATTCTCCATCTCCTTGCACGGCATTCACATCTCAGGGAGCAATCATTGCTGCCTTGGGACGGGGATGCTCGGTTAGAAATGTGGGTGCGGAGCCTGCATCCTCCAGCAGTCAGGCAGCTCTGCTTTTAAAGGTCACTTTGCTGTGACTATTTGGAGCCTTGCTCCAGTGCAGAGCAGATGCTCAGCAGTGCCGTGCTTGTCAGAAGCCATCACTCCTGCTAACGGGGAGCGCTGCGGCAGCGGGCGGAGGGGAGGCTGGGCAAGAAGCGGTGCGAGGTGGCACTCGCTCCCCCAGCAGGGCCCTCAGGAGCAGCTTGTGGGGCTGGGATCTGTGCCCTGTGAGAAACAGCAAGAGGACTGGGAAGATGCACACTTGGTTAGAAGCTTTCAGAAGTCTGAGGCTGACCACTCACTAGTGAAAAATAAGCATGAAATTCGTGACTGCAAGAGCAGCACCCAGCCTGTGTGCAGCCCAGCTCCAGCAGCCGCTGTGCCACCCGCCAGGTGCTGCTGAGAGCGCGGTGCCCGTTCTGGGGCTGGGGGGGCCCCTGGCAGTCCAAACACGAGCTGCACGGCTGGCCGAGATGCAGCAGGAACTCGGAAGAGAAATGAGGAGCAGATTTTAGGTTGCTCCATGCATTTATTTGGTGCCTTGGTTGCGAGCCGTGAGCGGAGCCTCGCACGTGAGCTGGGAGGAACAAGCAGAGCCAGGAGATGGAGCAGAGCTTGTGAGAGCCACTGGGGACAAAGCGTTGGGGCTTTCGGCCCTATGGGGAATAAAATAACCCTGCGGTGAGTAACAACAGCAGCTGCTGCTAAGCACACCGTGACTCTGCCATCCCTTGATGGTTTTGCTGCACAGACCCCCAGCGAGGAGGGCGGCTGGCAGGTTGCTGACACCTCGCCCGTGCCTGCATTGCCGCTGCCCTCCCTGCTGGTGACCCCTTTGCTCACCTGGCTCGAGGCAAGCACCCCTGTTGGTACCCCAGTCCATCTCCCAGCTGCGCAGGGCCCTTTGGGTGCCTGCTTTGTCCTTGCACTCAGAGCAGCCTTCCCGGTGGCTCCCAGCTTCTGGAGCCGAAGTGGGCTCTGTCCCCGTCCCCTGCTGCCAGCCCCAACCTCAGGGGGCTGCTTGTGTCGGGGCTGGTGGGCTTGAAGCAGGCCCAGGGCTTGTTGTCTGGTACAGACAGCTCATGCTCCTGCCAAGCAGAGCTACCAATTAGCTAATTGCCCCGGGACGAGGTGTTGGCAGCTGCTGGTTTCTTGCAGCCTGCTGCTGACGAGCCTGCAGCTGCCTGTAGGAACTCGGTGAGGGAAAGAACTCGTCCTGCTGTCCCGGCAGCGGGGCTGTGCGTTAATTAACCCAATCTGCCCCAGCTCTCTGAAAATGGAGCCGCAATTTTCAAAGCACGGGGCGTGAGGCAGCTTCCCTGCTTGGTTCGCTCCCCTCATAGGCTCTGTGGCCCATCCCCTGAAGGTCCCCCCAGCCCCATGCTCCTGCGGGGAGTGCCCGTGAGGCCGGCAGGATTTTTCCTTGCTTTTCTCCTCCTGTGTTTCGCTCCACCAAGGGAGCGGCTCTGCCTTTAGCTGTGGCACACAGTCAGTCGGCTGAAGCTATTAAAGGCACATCTCTCTGCACAGCTCAAGCACAGGGCCCAGAATTTAGGTCGCCGGCCCGTGCTGCCTCTGCCCAGCTGTGGTGCTGGCAGCGTGGCAGAAGAGCATCGCAGCCTTTCCACGGGGCTGCAAAACGTACCTTTGGCTTCACTGCTCGGATGAGCCCGGCCCTCCTGTGTCCCAGGAAAAGGAGAGAGCCTGCAAACGAGTTCATACAGCCCTACGGGATCTTGAAGGTCCCCCTATGACCCCATCACCCCGTCTGACAGAGCGTGGCCCACCTGGGGTAGGTTTGGGTGCTGCCTGCTGGGAGCGTGTGTTGGCAGGTGCAGTGCTGCTATTTTATTTGGCCATCCCAAACCAACCTTCTGAGGCAGCTGAGAGAACTTCCATTTGGTGAGCAGCCAGCCAGAGCTAGAAATGTCTTTTTTCAGACTTTCTCCCTAGACCTGCCTACACTGTCAGTTGCTTTATCCTCCTCCAGTCTCTGCTGAGCTCTCTTTCCTCTCTTCCACACATTCCCTTCTCTCCCCTGGATCCATCCTGGCAGCCCGGCGTGGTCCTGCCAGCCCTGGCAGCCCGGCGGTGTCTGTGCCGGGGCTCAGCAGCTCGTCCTGCAGCTCCCTGCTGTGCCGGTGGCCCCGTGTCCTCAAGCAGGAGCGCAGAGCACAAAAAGGGAATTTTCCTACACTCCATGTCCACAGCTCGCCCCAGAGGCACAGAACATAAATCACTGCCCCGTCCTTCCTTCCCTTGCCTTTCCACATTTTTTTTCGTGGGCCTGCTGCCTGCTTGGCTGACTCACCCAGGCCTTCCCTCAAGTCCCGGGAGCAGCCAGGTTTTCTCCACCAGGTTGTGATTTCCTTGCTGGGCACCTAGATAACCCCCCGAGGGGCTGGGACAGCCGTAGGGCCAGGGTTTCGGCACTGCTGGCCTCCCTGTGCAGCCCCACAAGTCCCCGGCCCCGTTTCTCGTAGAGGTCTGGCTGTGGGGCTCAAGCTGCGGTTCTCTCAAAAAGATGAAGGCACTTGGGGAACCTTCCTTCAAAGGAGAATCCCCCCCGGACGCTGCTAATTGCTTTTCCTAGGACTAATTAACCTTTATTTAAAAGTTACATTTCCAATTTACCTAAAGCTCGGTCTTAAGGGTGTAGGGTGGAGAGGAGGAGAAAGCCCGAAGGCAGAGCTGCGGCGGGGCCGCCTCTGTCCCGCTGGGCTCACAGGGGCTGGGGAAGCTCAGCTGCCAGGAGGCTGAGCCCAGCCTGGTGCTGAGCTTTGGCATCGTGCTGCCTGCACAGCCCCTGTGTTTCTTTTGGGGCACGTTTCAAACCTGCCTTTCCCACCTCCATGGGCACCAGGCTCCCCGTGCATCCTGCTCTGTCCCTTAGCAGCTTTCTGATTTGTCTTGGTTGCTGCCCCCAGTGCCCCCGTCTGCCTTGTGTTTCCACCTCGGCTGGTTTTAGGACTGCTTTCGCTTCCCCCTCTAGCTGGGATGATTTTAAAGCTGCGTTGTCATCATTAGCGGCTTGTAGTTCCCAGTTTTCCTTCCCGTGTTTCTCTCTAAAGCGTGTCTTGATGGAACTCAGCGACTCGAATTCGGCTTCCTTTAAGGACAGACTTTTTCCCGGTACCTGTATGTGCGGCCAGCCTAACCCTTTCTGAAGATGCCTTCCTTAGGGCATTAGCCCTGCCTCTTCCTTCCCACTCCCCCCCCTCAGTGGGCAGCGAAGGCTCAGTTCTGTTTCTTGGAGTTTGTCACAGCGCTGGCAACAGCAGATTCATGGATTAGGCCCAAACTCTGGCCTTTACCTTGCTTTATGACTTCGTCGTTGATTTTTGTCTTCTCTGTAGCTTTGACCTTCCCTCCTTCTCCTGAGCAATACCTTGGACATGCAGTTGAAGGGGGCACCTTGCTTTTAAGGTGGAACAATTCCTGCACACTGAGGTGGGCACCGCGCACTAATTCACCCACGGCCTTCATTAAAATTTAATTTTGTTCGCTCTTTTTGTAGCTGTCAGCGGGTGCAGTTACAGGGCCGTGATGCAATCAGCAGGGCCGTACGATGTTCTCTCTACGAACACTTGGCCCAGAGGTAGGAGTTGGTGTCTGATGAAGGCATCGTACAACTGTCCTGCTCCCTGCAGGAGCCCAGACACCAGTAACAACACTGCCAGTCCGCAGTGACACGTGGCAGGAGTCACCAGAGCTGTCAGCTATGGGCTTCCTGCAAGAAGGACATAAAATAAAAAAAAGGTAAAAAGCAGCTGTAATGTGGTTTGGGTTTTGCTGAGTGGAGCTCCAAGTGCCCAGAGCCTGGCAGAAGCTGTGGGTCTGGCTGGGGACTGCTGCAGAGCTCGGGGGCCGTGCTGCAGGGCCGTGTCCTGCCAGCAGCCTGCCCTTGGATGAGGCTGAGCATGGGGCAAACAGGCCGGGAGCCGTCACCAGAAACTGCTGCTGCTTAGAGGGTGAAAATCATCCCAGCACCAAGCACAGCCCCAGGCCGGGAGGTGAATCTGCTGCCTGGGGCAGCTGTCCCCTGCGTGTCCCTACCTGGGGTGCTGCGTCCCTCTGGGGAGGGCAGGCCCCTAAAATTCACCGGGTCTTTCCTGCTCCTCACGTCTCGGTGGCGTTGTGCTTTGCGCCTTGTCTTCTGCTGGTCTCCCCTCTTGCTGCTTCAAGTTCTGATGGATTGGGTTTTGCCTTTGGAAAGATTTTATAAGCTTTGCTAGCGGTGGAGTTAATGCACTGCTGTGGCTCCATTACTCACTGCTGGCTCTTTCTCCCTGTCAGGGCGGTGGAAAAAAAACTTCCTTCGCTGGAAACAAGATGAAGATTTAAATCACTGCCTGTATTCCCGACAAGGCGCTGCTTGCAAGCTTAGAAAGTCATCATTTCCCCGGTTCTTCATTCTCCTTCACTGCGATGATGGCTTGCTCTGGAAGTGCTTTGTGCTTCGTGGGAGGGAAATGCCCCAATTGCTGCCTGCTGCACCCGCAACAGAGCGGGGTGGTGGTGGTGGAGGGCACAGGGCTGTGCCACCTGCCCCTTCTGATGTGTGCTGGGGGTGCCTGGCACCCCTGCTGCTGTCCCGCTGCTGCTGCTGTAGGCTCCAGGGGTATCTTGAGGCTTACAAAAGGTCCGAGCAACCTGTCTGTGCACAAGGTGCCAGGCGTGGGGGCTAGGAGTGGGTTGCCAGCCTGCTTTAATGCTTGGCAGTCCCAGAGAGCTGTGGTTTCTAAACACACTGGGGCAGCGTGGCCCAAAGCAGCACACACCCCGCACACCGCTCGGAAACTTCCCCTCCCTTCCCTCCGTGGCACTTAGGGCTGTCCCCTCGCTGAGTGCTGGGGTAACTCAGGACCAAGGCAAAAACCTCTGCAGCGTCCCCACATCTTGGCTGAACGTTTGCAGAAGGGTGAGCCTGCAGCATCTGTTCTCCCCTCTCCTGAGGGACGGGGCTTGGTGGTGCTCCGGGGGATGAGGGGCGAAGCCTCTGCACCCCCTGGGCCCCGCTCCTCAGTGCCCAGTGCCCTGGCTGTGGGCTCCGTGCTGCTGTGTGCCCTTTGTGGGGCAGGCTTGTGGAAATACAGGTGCTTGGGCTCCAGCAGAACGGGATCTCACCTGAATTTTAGGAGGAGTTCTGCCGGGGCGCGATGGATTTCACATGGTTTCTTTTCTTGTTTTTCTGTGAGGCCGACAAACCCACAGCAACGTGGCGGTGCCATAAATAATTCTGTTCCTCAACATCTCCTCCTTCCGCTACGAGCTGCTGAAAGGGCAGCCTGACCTTCAGAGCCAGGGAAGGCAGGGGAAATTGAGCCTTTATTACCAACGCGTGTGTCAGGGCTTTGGTTGTATCCACAGAATATAGCCCCGTGGGCTCAGCTAAACGGTGCCAAGGCACACCCCGGCTGCCGACAAGCAGGTAGCAGGAGGAGATGCTTGAAGGAAATAGATGGAGCCGAGCAGACACAGAGCAAGCTCCTGGCCTGGACTGACTCCTCAGCACCCGGTGGGCTGAGCTCTGTGGCCTCCAGTGCCAGGAGCTGGTTGGCACCTTGGCTTCAGCGTAGGGATTAGCCCATGGCTGATCTCCCCGCTGGTGGTGCTTTTTAACTCGTTCATGTCTCAGCTGCCGCAGCGTCGTGCAGCAGGGAGCTGCAGGGGGTCACCCAGCACCAGCACAAAGCCTGATTTCCTTCTTGTACTTAATGAGGACAGAGGGGTCAGCCCCAAGCACAATGAAGCTGCAGAGCTCTCGCTACCTCGGTGGAAAAAAAGCATCTTCCTTTAGGTGGTGCAGTGCTAAAGGGAGCCGTGGATTTAGCACGTGCATCAATTTTTAGCAGCGCATTAATTACAACCCCGCCAAGGCCATCAGCCTGCACCCACCACCCGTCAGCTCCTGGAGCTGTGGAGCTCGGTGGCTTGCAAACCGAGACCAGGCCTGCTTCGGGGTGCTTTTATTTCAGTACTGTCAGCTGAGGGCAATCTGTTGTTCTTGAGTTGTGTTGCAGAGGACTGTGACTGCGTTTTTCCCTCAAAGAGCAGCCCCCGATTCACCTGGGCCCTCCGTGTGCAGCCAGGCTGTGCTGTGTGTCTGTCCCCGTGGTACAAAAGCTGCTGTCGGATGTGGTTGGGGACTGTAAAGGGCCAGGGTTCGTGGGGCTGAGCCTGGCGCAGCGCTGGTGCCCTTGGGGCTGAGGTGCTGCCGGAGGTGCTGCTCCCAGGAGCTGGAGCTCAGCCGTGGCAGCTCTGTCCTCAGCCGTGCTGGTAGCAGAACAGGGAACAGTTGGAGTGAGCCTCAGTCTTCCATTGTTCAGCACGCTGCCTCTGCTTGGTACCGAATCCAACTCTGTCATTTTCTTTTACCGATACCCTAATTTTCTTCTCCTTTTGATCCGCAGGACTGCGTGCAGTTAAACCAGTACAAGCTGCAGAGTGAAATCGGCAAGGTACGTTCCTGGAGCCTGCTTCTCGCAGGGACCTGCATGCACACATAGGTACGGGTGGAAAGTCTGCACCAGCCCCAGGGATCTTACTGGTCAGGCCTTCGGAAACCCGCGTTTGTTTTCTTTGGGGCTTTTATGTTTGTCTGTTTGCCTTGTTGGTTCCAGCAGGTTTTGTTCAAGGTCGAAGTGGAACCACTTCCTCTGAACCTGCATTTGTTTTCCTTCCCTCTGGAGGTGGTTAAGTTGGCTTTCTTCCAAGGGATTTGCTTACCGAATGTGACACTAAGTGCTTGTGAGGCATAAATACAGCCCAACAAGGGGGAAAAATAAAAAAAAAATCAGGGCAGGTGTTTGGTCCCCGCCAGGACTGGTTTAAGTTTTTAATTCTGTGAACAAGCTGCTGGTTTAGTTGTAGTCCCTGCTTCAAAGACGCAGAAGGGCTCAGAAGAGATTCCTCCAAAGTTATTTGGAGGTCTGGGCTGGTGAGCAGCTCAGACCCCTGTAGACCCCAGACTCCTTCAGCCTGACTGAAGGAGTGCGAGGTGTTGCCCCAGCAGCAGGCGTGCTCCTGCCCCCTTCCCTGCACCCTGAGGTTAGCAGGGCCCTGCTGGACCTGCTGGCCTGGATCAGCTGGGCAGCTTGTCCACCTCCCGTGGGGCCTGGACCTTCGTCCCAGCGCTCCGTGAAGTCAGGAGCGGTGTTGTGAGGGCTGTGGTGGTCAGTCCCACTGCTTTATCCTACGGGCAGCTGTCGGGGTGAGACCTTGCCACAGTCTCCTGCTGAAAATGGACTTGTGCCGGAAAGCTGTCCAGGCAAAGTTTCCAACCTTGCACCAGAAATCGTCAGCTGAAATGATTCGATCTCCTCCCTCCCTCCCTGTTTTTGACTTGAGACGGGCAGGAGGCAATGAGCTATCGCACCCCTCCTCCTCCGGGCATTATTGATCCTCAGCAAGTGCCCGTGGTGCCACCAGGGCTGCTGTGACATGCCAGGTGGTGCTGTGCCAGCCTCGAGCAGCAAGGAGGCAAGGTGCTGAGCTGACGGTGCCACGTGTTTTTGTTTCTAGGGTTCCTACGGTGTCGTAAAGCTGGCCTACAACGAGAACGATGACAAGTACTACGTAAGTGTCTCTCTGCTTTGCTCACTGCTGCTGCCACTGCTCCTCATTCCCTGCTGCACCCCTGAGGGCCACATCCCCCTTGCGCTGCTTTTAGCAGATGCATTTCTCATCTGGGCAGCACCCAAGGCACCAAACCTCCCCGTGGGGCATGGAGCAACGTGCTGCTGGCTGCGCACCTGCCTGCATGCACACACGGGGAGAGGAAAACGGGGTGGGCTGCGTTATGCAACACGCAGGGACCTCGGAGGCAGGCTGCAGAAGCGTGCTGCTGAGCTGTGCTGACATTTCTGGCTGTGAAGCAGGTCACCTGGAAGCAGAGGCGTGTGTGGGCAGTGGGGTGCAGCACCTGCTGTGTGTCGGAGGCTCAGCCTGCAGCGAGCTCGCCTGTCTCCTGAGGACACCGGAGGGTTCAGCAGAATGATGCCGAGCAGTGCCTGGCTCTGCGGGGTCTTACCCCCTTGCAGGATGCCTCCCCACTGCTCCTGGGGGGCAGTTGTGTGCCTGTCTGTAGCCCTTCTGTGCTAGCATCAGGCGTGACACTGCAGGAGGAACACCGTGAAATGAGGGATGGAAGAGATGAGACAAAAATCTGGAAGGGGTGCCCTGAAGCTGGCCCAGCAAAGGAAGGCTCCGTGATTCTTTCCATCCCCGGTGCCTTCCAGGCTGACTCACCCAGCGCCCTGGAGCACTGCTGTTTCCACCAGCTCCCTTCCTCTGCTGCCCTCCCACTGCTCCCTCTGGTGCCTGGAGTGACACGGCTTTGCCCTGCTTCTGTCTGCGCCCTCGGCCTGCCCAGGGTCAGCAGCACGGAGCAGCTCATCACGTCCCCTTTATTGCTGTGATCACCTTTTTTTCTTGGAAAATCGTGACCTGTGTGTTTTGGCACTGAGTTTTAGTGGTGGGAGTCGCAGTGCTGCTGAGAGGGGCAGGGCAGCCCTCCCACTGCAGGAGGGGAGCGTGGGCTCTGCCTCTCCCTGTGGTTTGGATGCTGGTTAATGCCGGGGATGTAGATGGAGCTGCTCAAATCAAAGCCAAAAGTGAAAGCCTGCGTCCAGACTAGCCTGACTGTGTGTTAGTTAATCCCTGCTTAATCTCCATTTCTTCTTCTAATCTCGACACACACTCCAAGGCTACTGCAGCCGCAGTGCCTCCCGTGTCAGGATGCTTCTGTGTCAACCTCACTGCCCGGTTTGCTGCCCAGCACCGCAGGAATGTGCCCTGTGATCCACCCCAACCCTCTTCTTGTGGGGTCGAGGCAGGGACTGGGGCAGCCTGCAGCAGGGACCTGCAGCCACCTGCATTTCGTTGCTGTGCACGTAAGCAGAAGGGAGGGGAGAGGGCAGACGGCTGCCCTGCAGGGGACAGGCTGCGATGCTGACGCCTGAATTCCGTGTGTGTGCCCATCTTTCAGCTGGGGCAGTGCTGGAAGGCAGTAACAGCTAACGAGAGGAGATCAGGCCTCGGCTGGCATTTGGTCAGCAGCCCCACTGGTTGATTCACGTGGCACAAGGCCAGGACGCTGCTGCCTGCTTTATTTTCCAAGCAAGCGTGCTGAGATAAAAAGGAGCCAAACTTTAAAGCTGAATAAATGATTCTGGGGTGTAATTCAGAGCGTGATAACCCGATCCGTGCTGAGGCGCAGGGCCCTTTGCTAGTTCTTTGCTTAACTGCAGAACTTGGAGGTACCATGGATTGAATTTAGCTCCTGACGAAGTGAGTGGAAAGATTTCTCTTGCTTTAATGTGTTTTGGGTCTGGCCTAGAACTAGGAAAAACTCCGATTGCCACATCTGGGAAAAACGTAGATGGGCTGCATTTATCCTGTGGGCTGTCTGACCTTCCGTTAACCATGAGAAAGTGCTTCCAGGAGCTGCTGCGAAGCTGCTGATTTACACCAGCGGATGCAGGGAACACAGCCTGGGGAAATGGAGCAGCCAGCACTGGGTATGTGACCGCTGCCCCCTTCGAGGAGGAGCCCCCTGGGCGGCAGAGCTGGCTCCCGGAGCAGAGCCCCCGCCACGGCGCTGGATTCTGGCTGCTGGGGAGTGCGAAGGAGTCACAGCAGCACCTGCAAGGCTCTGCCAAGGAGCTCGTCACAGCTGGAAAGGTTTCGGTGTCACAGTTTGCAGGAGATGCTTTGACAGTGAGTAGGGGAAAAAAGGCCAAAAAAAAAAAAAAGCCAAGCTCTGCGAAAGAGCAGCAAATAAAAAGCAAAGGCAAACGTGTCCAGGCGGAGAGGGAGTTCGGAGTCATTGTGCTGATGGAATTTGATTCTACCATGCCTCAGGTCATGGCTCCTTCCTCTTTCCAATCTCTAAATCAGCTTGCAGAGCAGAGTGGTTATGATGGACATTTGTTACGCTGGTTCTGGACAAAAGCAATAGCATGGGAGGTTGTCAGGGAGTTTCCATTTTTTTCCTCTTTTAATCCGGTTTCCTAAGAAACAAGATTTATGTGGTGTGCTCTGCCTGCCTCCACCTCCCAACCTTTGCATCGAAGGCTCTTTCCTACCAAGTGGCAATGCTGGGGACAAGTTCCTCCCAGGCTGATGAGCCCAGAGAGCTGAACGAAGTGCTACTGCCGAGGAAGAGTGGCCAGCAGCAAGCCTTGAACCCTGCCAGTTCCCAGAGAGCTGGGACGGGGAGGACGGGAAGGCACAGCTCCTGCCTTCCTCACCCCGTCACATACCTGCCAGCTCTGCTGCAGTGCGCTCAGGACCAGGGAAATCATTTCTGGCTCACTCTCACAGCCCGTGCCCTCCAGTAGCAAGGAGCTGGATCGCCCAGGGTTAAAGGGGGAGCCAGATTTTGGGCGGCTGAGCCTGTCTGCTTTAGGCTTTTCTTTACCCACACAGCATCTCTCTTGTGAGCTTCAAGCTGTGGGGTGCTAGGAGGGAGAGCAGGAGCCTGAGCTAAGAAAGGCACGTAGAGAAGGGCACGGGGTTCCTGCTGCCTCTCGGAGGGCAATGCCACGGGCTGTGTCCATGTGGCACTCAGAAGGAGAGTGGGCACAGGGCACGTGTAGGGAAGTCTCCGAGGCTCCCTGTTTTCCTGAGGAAGCCGAAGCAATGCTTACCAGTGCGAAGGGAACATCCCTCGGCCTGGCTCTGAGCTGATTCTTGATCAGGAAGGCATCAGCTGAGTAATTAGCTCTGCCTGCCAGTGGAAATGTCGCTGGCACTTTGAGGCTGGGAGCCCAGAGGGGCGGTTTGCGGAGCAGCCCTGTGCCTGTTCATGCAGCCACAATTAGCAGGGAAGCCTCATCCCACCAGCTCCTGCTGTAATTAGTGAAGCTCCTCTGCCGTGTGCGCTCATCTCTGCTCCTCTGACAGTTCAGTGCCTCTGGCCTGCAGCACGACCAGGTTTGTTTCTGTCTGGGAGTGCAGGGGGCAGTTCCTCCTCTGAGCCAGCCCTGCTCGCGTGGTGGCAGCTACCCAGGCTTTGGAGGTGGTGTGAGCACGTCCAGAGCTCTTGTGCCCTCCGTTTCTGGCCACAAAAGCAGTTTGTGTCGTCATTAGAGCTCCTCTCTGTCCCTTATGCTTCCTTCCCCCCTTCCCAGAGCCTGCCCGAGGGCTGATGCAGCCGTAGCCGGGCGTTGGTTCAGCTCCTGGGGCTGGATTCCCCACAGAGTGGTGCAGCCGGGAGCTTCCTGCAGCAAACTGCGTCTTGGGGTTCTTGTTTCTCTGAACTCTGTTGCCAGAGGGCAGACAAGACCCAGGTGGCCAGGGCAGCAAGAGCAGCTCCAGGGAGCTCCCCAAAACATCTCGCTGACCTGCCCCTGCTGCATGCATTAAATAGGGGCAGCGCACGCAGCCTGCCCCCGTGGCATTCGTGCACAAGTCCTTGGCATTTGACCGTGTCCCATGGGAGTCCTTAGCTAATTGTATCTCACCGGGCTCACCCTGCTGGGAACGAGAGGTTTGGATGCTTAATTAACGGGAGTAATCACCCCTCCGAGGGGATGGAGCCGTCCCCTGACGTGCTGCTCTCCTGGGCACCGCAGGGCTTTGGGAGCAGCCCTCGGAAAGGTTGTTAGTGCTCAGGGAGCTGGGGGCACAGCGGTGGGGCACACTGCACGTCCCCTGCATGGCTCTGGGACAGTGAGAAAGGCCTTACGGGGCAAAAAAAGGTCTGTGAGAATGCACGAGGCCCCACGCAGAGCTGGGCTAGGGGCTGTGTCCTCACCTACCCCGGGCGTGTGGTGTAGGTTGAAGGGATGGTAGTGGCATGGCTGTGATGCTCCAGCTTTTTGGCTTCGTAGACCTTCTGGCAAAGCAAAACATCAGGTGGAGTAGCCTGGAAGCTGCTCTCACCTGCAGCACTGGCCATAGCACCATCCAAAAGCCAGGTCTGTAAAGCTCTGCTAGAGGAGCCCACCCCTTCCCTTAAGCTGTGGCCCGGAGTGCAGAAATCGGGCTCATTTTCTTGGGTCCAATTTAAAATAAATCAAACCCAGTTATTTTTTCCATGGGAAAAAGATAAAGGCGCTGCTGTTTGCTTCATTTCGGAAGGCCTGTGGCAGGGTGTGCCCGTGGTGGCCGTCTCCAACCAGGAGCCTCCTGCCCTGAGCCGAGCCGAGCCAGCCCCGGCCTCACAGCACCGAGTGTTGGGGCTCTCAGCTGGTTTTAACACTGCTTTTTCCTCTTCCTCCAGGCTATGAAAGTCCTCTCCAAGAAGAAGCTCCTGAAGCAGTACGGATTTCCACGTGGGTATCTCACCCTTGGAGGCCTGCTGTCCCCAGCCAGGCACACCCCTGCCTCACAGCGCTGCCTGCCGGGGCTGCGGGACGAAAGCTCCCCGGGGAGCTGGGGGCTGCTTAAAGTGCAGTAGTGAAAAGCCAGGCACGGATAAATTCAAAGCACTCAGTAATTAGGTTCCTGGCTTTGATTTTTGGAGTCTTTGAAGTGCTGGCTCATCCCATTCGCTACCTCTGAAGCCTGACAAAGTGCTGGGAGCTGGGCAGGGCAGGGCAGGGCAGGCCCCCTCCTCCCAGGGGCTCTTCTGCCCCCTTAGCACCCAGCCCCGGTGGCAGACAGAGCAGGCTGGGCAGCCAGCAGGAGCTGGTCTCAGTGTGGCTTGGCAATCCCTCTTCAGGGTGGGGACTGCAATGCTTTGGGGTGGTAATAGGGTGATGAGATCTTCCCCCGCAGCTGGGGAATCCTGCAGGGGGGCAGCAGCTGCTCTCTCCTGCATGCCAAGTGACTTCCTGACTCTGTTCTCACATCCGCAGGTCGGCCTCCTCCTAGAGGGTCTAAAGCATCCACTGGAGAGCAGCCAAAGCCGATGGCACCGCTGGACAGAGTCTATCAGGAAATAGCCATATTAAAGAAACTGGACCACGTCAACATCGTTAAGCTGATAGAGGTGAGCTACTGCTGCAGCCTACGCCGCACTGAAACAGATCTGGTTTGTCTTGTGGCAGGAGGACACTTCTCCAACTGCTCCTACTGCAGCCAAAATTGTTTTAAAACAGGCGTTCAACAGCTAGGTTGGTGATTTTGAGTAAGATCACAGAGTCGTGTATGACAAACTGACACACTTTGGTGCTGTGCTGAGTGAAGGCAGCTGGGTGCGCTGGTGGAAACAGCAGCAAGCTCTGAGCAGACAGGCCTGGGAAGGTGCACACATGCCACGCTTCGTTTCTGGTTTTGATAATGGCTGAACTCAGACCAGGATAAGCAGTTTCTACAAATATAGGCAGAAACCCTTTTTTCCTGGTGACAGGAAAATTCGTGTCCTCCAACACCCTGCCCCCCTCTCAGGAATCTCTAAATATCAGCACAAGTCTTTCTTAATGCTCTGCAGCTCAGCACAGCACACAGGGAGCAGTAAAATGTTGTTTGATTAAAAACAACTCTTTCCGTGCTGTTTTCTTACTCCCCTCTCCCCTTATCTCTCTGTTATCAATTGCAGGTCCTCGATGATCCTGCAGAGGACAACTTGTACATGGGTACGTGAGTCCTTACACGCTAACAGAACCGTCCGGGCTTTAGACCTAGTGGTGCAAGTAACTCGTGCTGGGACTCGGGGTCAGTACCAGAAGGAAACTTGTACCAACTTGAGCAGAGGTATTTCTTCTGAACAGTTAAACACCTGTAAGGGCAGCTGAACTGGCAGGGCTACAGAGCTGCACGCGTCCCCTTAACATAATGGCACTACAAAGGTGTGACCGCAGCTCTGCCCTCCCCTCTGTGTATGCCAGAGCCAGGAGAGAAGGGAAAGGTGCAGGAGAGCTTCTTGTTCTCTCAGTCTGAGGTCCATCTCTCCGAACGCTGTGGATATTGGTGGTGACTGAAGAAAGCTGTCTCAGGATGTTCCCTGTGCCCCCTGCAGACACGCTCACCTCCTGATGAGCCTTGAGACCTTCTTAGCCTAATCCTTACCTTGGTGTCCCGATGGAAGGTCGCAGCTGACTCTGCATTTATGCCAGGGGTGGGAAAGTGCCCTCCATCCTGTCTTCCTCTCCCTAAAACCTTGGGGGTGCCCCAATTTGGGCAAAACCCCCAGGGACAGGCCTGGGAAGATCTAGGGTGCAGAGCTGCTGAGATGGAGACGTCTGCCCTTGTTAAATCTCTGCTCACTGGTAGTGTTCCCTGATGAGACAGGCTTAAAGGCTGCTTCTCGTGAAATAATTATGGGATGCTTTTTAAGCTGCTTCTGCAAGGCATCTCTGCCTAGCAAGTGAAGCCGTTTGCCTCTGAAGGGCCAGCCTTGCTGCTGTCAGAGCCCCGTGGGCCTAGTGTGGAGCCCCATAGCCCTAGCGTGGTGCTGGGTGCTTTTGGCTTCTGCAGGGCAGGAGCTGGGTGACACTAAATGTCTGCTTTAGTTTGTAGAAGGAGGCAGAACTTCCTCAGCTAGCCTGCAGCTGGCTCCCAAGGCAGTGTTCCCCTCACCGCTGCTGTCATGCTCCCTGTGGTTTTGTACCCCAGCTTTTTGGGAGTTGAGCGGGGCAGGGGCTGCAGAGGAACGTTTCCCTTCCGAGGGAGCCAAGGGGCCCAGCCTGGGTCTAGGAGACTTCAAACATCTTCCTTGGTTTTCTGCAAGTTGCTTCATATCCTAGCATTGCTACCAAGCAGTACTTGGTAAAACCCCAGTAACTGCTGCCACAGGACCAGAAAAAACCCCAGGGCTGGGGCAAGTCCCCATTTAACCCCTGCTCAGACACACAAACCCACATGCCCTACAAGCCTCAACTGATGCCAATAAACCCTCTGCAATTGCCCCTGCCAGGGAGCATTTACCTCTCTGATAGTGGTGTAGCTGTGCTGCTGAGTGACACAGCTGAAATGGAGCAATGTGTTCTCACAGCATCTCCTTTGGTATCAGCAATTTAGCAGAAATCTCACACCAAACACCCTCCCCGGAGGTACTGAACGAGGCAGGGCTCAAACCAGCCAGGGCTGACACCGGGAACAGCAGAAGTGTGGTTGGTAAATTAGCACCCGCTGCCTCCCTGGCAGGAGGTGGGGAGATTTGTCTTTGAAGAGATGAATATTTTCATTTTGCATCCCCTGGTGTCCTTGTCATGTGGGAAGAAAGAAAGGTGAGGGAGATAAATTGATTTAGCAGGTAGGGGAAGGGATGTGTTTTATAGGTGCTAAAATATGAATAAGCCTGGTTCTCTCTTCTGCGATTCATTCATGGTTTGATTTCCTTCCTTGCAGTGTTTGACCTCCTAAGGAAAGGGTAAGTAGTCCTCCTGGGAACGCTTTTGTTGAAATTTCTGGTGTTGACTGTTAGCTTCCTGGGTGAAATGGGGATTTCCATGTGCACAGTGGGGCACAGCGCTGGCTGCAGGCAGGTGAGAGCAGAGCTCCAGCTGCAGTTGCCTTCACACCCTTCCAGCCGGGGGGGATGCTGTGGGATGTAATGGGCTGGGAGGAAATGCCCTGCTGTCAGGCTTTGCTCCAGAACATAAATGTGGTGCCACACCCCTATTAGATGCCTGGGAGAAAAGCTTTTTTAGGGCATGCAGCACTGGGGTAGCAGCCCCGTTGTAGCTTCCTCTGATGTAGGGCTCAGAAGTTCCATCACCGTTCGCTTGCCCCCTGCCTCACTTTGCCCCCAGCATTAATATATCACAGGAGGCTGTTTTGGTGGCACATTTCCCCAGCAGGAGCAGGGATAAGGCAGCGGGAGTCCCCTCACCACCTCTTGCTGCACCTGGGCTGGGTCTGCAGCTCTGCGCTCACAGCAAGGTTGGGAGAGCTGAGCGTAGGGTGGGGGAGATCCCCCAAGGGCTTGCTTCTCTCTCTAGCCCCGTGAACGAGCCTCCTGCACGCCGCCAGCTCCGGCAGGTTGCTGGTGAGAGGCTCCCAGTCTCCCTGGTGACCGGGCTGCTGACTCTCCGGGAGGAGAGGGGGAGAAAAAACCTCCTGTAATCAGCCGGGGCCAGGGAACGTGCTGCCTGGCCGTGCACAGCCTGCCCGCCCCTAGCAGAAGGCAATTAGACCCCATTAGCAGCTCTGCCAGTCCTCACTCACATCATCAGCAGAAAAATGTGCAGGAGGAGGGAGGGAAGGCAGTGGTTAGAGAAAAGTGAATGGGAGATGGTCGTCTGCCAAAGGCAGCAGGGGGGCAGAGGGGAACGCTGCCTGCAGGTTCTGCTGCTGCTCGCTGAGGGGAAGAGCCCCAGAGCCGGGTTTTGGTGATGGGTTCTTCTTGGCCAGGGTTTGACGTGCAGGGACGGTGTCTGAGGAGCACTTGCTTAAATCTAGTCTGCTCAGTGGGCGTGTGTCCAAATTCAAGGTTCGGGGTCAAGCTGCTGAGCAGAATTAACCCCGCGGCGCAGCGAAGCCCTGAGCTCCTGCTGCTCGTCTGCTGGGGGGCACGAGATGCTGAACAAGATGCTGGGGAGCACAAGATGCTGATGCGGGGACACCCAAAGGGAAGGGGAGAAGCTGCTGACCTGCAGTTAATCCTGGTGTTAGTGAGGACCTCGTGGCTCACACCTCACAGGGCAGTGCGGGGCAAAACCCCACGGCCTCTCTGAGTCCCAGGAGCCCTCGGAGCTCCCTGAGGGTCTGAAGCAGAGGGACCGCTCCTGGACCTTGATCCTGGACCTGCTGGGAGCCCACCCCTCACTGCTGGGGCCGAAATGATGCAGAATGAGCCTAAAACCCCAGCAGTGAGTGTTGCTGCCGTTTTGCAAAGGACTTACTGCCCTCCCTCCTCCCAACAGGCCTGTGATGGAGGTGCCCAGCGAGCAGCCCTTCAGCGAGGACCAGGCCCGGCTCTACTTCCGAGACATCGTCCTGGGCATCGAGTACTGTGAGTACCTCCACCACTGATGGCCCTCCACAGAGCGCGTGGGTCAGCGTCCTGTTGGGCCAGGGAGAAACCCCTCAGCAGCAGGGGGCTGGCAAACGAGCCAGCGAGGTCCCCCCTGACTGCAGGTGCCAGCTGGTGGCCGTGCTCAGCTCGGGTTTGTCAGGCTGTAACGCCGATGCCAGGATCACGCACTCCTTGGAAAGGACTTTGGGAAAACAGTGGCTTGCTTTTTTCTTATCTCTTTTTGGAGATAGACTTTGAAAGCAATGGCAAAGCTAGGAAAGAGGCGTTTGTAGTGACGTGGACTGAGTCAGGAGCTTCAGCCGGGACAAATCGCTGTCTCCAGCTTGGCAGGGGCAGCAGTCCCAGCAGCAGCAGTGAGAGTTGGCTGGTGCTTCCCTCGTGCACCCTGACAGAGCTGCTGTGTCCGTGTAACCCCTCACGCTCTGCAGCAAGGGCTGCGAGGCTGCTGGGTGGTGCCTTTTGCTCACTGCTGAGCTGCAAACCTTGTGCTGCAGGTTTCATAGAATCATTAGGGTTGGAAAATCATTAGGGTTTCATGTCTGGCCTTCTCTTATGACCTGTGCCTGCAGTGGGAGGATGCCCATTAAGTTGCCCGGGTGCTTTCTTTTCTATTAATAGGCCTCTGAGAGTAACACGTGCAGCAGAGCTGGGCAGTTATGGGTGCAGGACACGTCCGTAGCACCCATGGGGTTGAGGGTCACAGAGCGTGGTGCTTTGTGGTCTGACTGCTGGCGTTACTCCCTTGCTGCTTCTAAACATTGCACTGCACATTCTCACTCCTTCCGAGCCTCAGTACCGGCATTGTGTGCAGGCCAGAAGGTACAGCTCTGATCCTCCACTGGTCACCCACACTCGCCTAAACCTTCTCTTCCAGAAGAAGGTCCCCGTGTAGCACAGCCTCGTGTGAGAGATGTAACCACGAGTTGTCTGGGCTGCAGCCACAGCTCGTGTACCCGCTGGGCACGTTGTGGTGCTGGTGAACAGCACTTGGCATTTTTTGATTCTCCTGTCTTTGTTGTAGCTCCTGGCTTTCCACAGTGTTTGGTGATCTCACCATTGACTGGTTTCTCTGAACATTGATGGACTAAAGAATTGGCCATGGTTGGATGGCTGAGTAGGAGGAGGAAGAGCCAATAGAGCTTTTTCAGAGGAACTCTTGCCTCACAGACCTGTTAGCTTTCCAGAGGAGTCAGCACAAATGTAGATAAGGTGATCCTGTCACTACAACACACGTGAACAACCAAGCAGCTTTATGAGCTTCTGTTAACAGATCCAATCAGGAGAAACTAAGTCGTCTTGGCTGGCTGACCTCTTCTGGATTAATAACTAGTCAGATGATCAGGCAAGTAGGTACACAGTGGAGAGAGGTCACTAGTGCAGTTCAACTGGAATCCGTAACGTGGCCTGGGCTGTTCAATATGTTCCTAACGACCAGAAATAGGATGGAGTGCAATATGGGAGGCTGGTGGCGATACCTCCTTGAGGATAGTCATCGTTAGAGCTGACTGGCGGGAGGATGCCGTGGTACTGAGTGCTGGTACGGTAAAATGGCAGATACAAATCCATGCTGCTGAATGCAGGGTAATGTCTGAGGGGGAGAAACAGCACTAAAAATATGTACGTCGTGACGGGCTCCAAATGAGCTGTTCTCACTCGGTCTTCATTTGGGAGAGTTCTCTTCAAAATGCCAGCCCATTACTTAGTGACAGTCAACAGAGCTAGCAGGATTTGGGGAATTATTGGGAATGAAATAAAGAAGAAAACAGAAAATATCATTATGCAGTTGTTTGGATGTGTAAGAGCTCTTAGACACGAGCAGGGAATACCGTGAATGCTGTGTGCAGTTGTGCTCAGCCTGTCTCAGAAACCGCTCTCTAGAGCTGAGAATAGCACAGAAGGGGTGATCGGGATGATCCCGTACAGAGGGGTGAGATTAAAGCACTTCAGTTTTAAAAATTATCACAGGATACGTACGGGAGAGGCTTATAAAACCCTCTGTGTCAGGAAAGAGGTGAACACGGAATGAATCTTCTCTGACGGAAGAACCGAGGGGTAGCAAACAAAATAATTAGGCAGCAAGTTGAAAACAGAAGGAATTACTTTCATACAGCAGGTAATTAAACCCTGACATTTATTGCTAGATGAGACGGCAAGTGCCAGAACAGAACGGGCTCAGACGAGATGAGACAGCTCTGTAGGAGAAAGAAGAATCGGGGGCTGTTCCATGGGAGAAGGCAGGCGGTTTGCCACTGGCAACGCGGGTACTGTACGTGTTGCATCTGTCTGCACAATGCTTTTCCCCCCAGTTACTGACCCTGGCAGGAGACAGGGTGTTGGGGTGGGTGTTGGGGTGGGTGGGCCCCTGCTTTAGGGGGCTGCATCCTCAGCTCTCCTCCAGCAGCTTCTCTACACCATGCACAGGTTATGGCTGCGCTCACCCTAGGGTTAATTGTGGGGTAATTGTGCTGTGCCCAGCTCCCTGAGGCTGACCTAGGTCAGCTTGGCATCTCTCAGGCGTGGCGACTTTTAAAATATCTGGCTTACTGGCATGATTCTGGAGGCAAATCTGAAGTCAGGGCAGCCAGCGGGGAGGGCCGAGGCTGTTTAATCAAGCAGGTGTCATCCCCAGTCAGTGAGCAGCATGTGAAGCGTGAAAGGCCAGCCGCCTGTGAGCCGGAGAGCTGTGCTGCATCCTGGTGTGCTTCGAGGTGAGAGGTTCTTCAGCTGGCTCAACCTCCGTAAATGCTTGTTTCTCTCACAAACGAGAGGGAATTATTTCAAATGTGCTTTCAAAGAGCCAGCATGCGGCTGCGTCGAACATGAAAGGAACAGTTCGTGCTGCTGTCGTGCCTTGGGCCATGTCTGCCTTCGTTCTGCCAAATCTCAGGTGGCCCCTGCAAGCTCAGCAGCTCCCCAGAGTCGGAGCCAGCCCCTCGCTTTCCCAAGGCTTTCATTCAAGTTTTCAGCAGGTTTCAAACACCTGCAGGGAGCAAGACGAGCATGACGGACCTTGCCAAAGCAGAGGAGGGCAGTTTGCAGTGCGCTGCTCCATCCCCACACCGAGATGCAGCACCACCTCTCCTGGCTTGTCTGACCTCACCGCGAGGTGGCTGGGAATGCAGTCACTGCTCTCCTGTGACAGGCCAGAAGCTTCCATCTGCTGAAAGCTGCCATAAACAGTCAGGTCACCCCTGGAAGTCAGTGGAAATGCATATATGAATGGGAATGGGGAGCTCAGGACTGCTTTGCAGTAGAGTTTGAAGGGCAAGGACTGCAGCTTTTTGATTCTCATCAGTATTCACGCTATAGCAGAACCTGTGTGCCTCGGCAGGGAGATCCAGGCTGTGCTGTGCTGGATGCTGCTGGTGCTGCAGTAGGCACCAGAAGAAAGTTTAGTTTAGAAGACAAGCCAAAAAAAAAGTTTGTGTTTCCTTAGGCAGGGAGGATGGATCTGGGCAATAAATTATAGGATGCCCAAGCACTCACAGCAACGGGAACAATGGGATGCTTCGTTTGGGGCTATTGAGTAAGCACTTACTTTATTAGCAAATGAAAGTTAAAAATGGTGTTGTCTCAGAACTGGTGGGTAAATGCACGGCAATTACTGTGTAATTACAGGGGGAAAGTGCACCGTTTGTGCACGCTGAAGGAGAAGTGTTGCCAGGCAATCTAGAGATTGCAAGGTAATTTTAATGTAAGCATACATAATTGTTAGGTAATTTGGGGGAGTCGATAACCATGCAGCTGCTAGAAGCTCGCAGGCGTCACAGCAGCAAATGCAGCCTTGCTGGCTGGGTTTTTATTAAATTAGCAGCTGCAAAGTGGCTTCCTGTCGGAGCCTGCATTAATCCAGGCCGTGTGCGGTGCAGGGAGGTGGCTGCAGAGGCCAGGCAGGTGGGAAATGTGCGCTGGACTTGACAACTGCAGGGGGTGGTGCACAGTCACTGCCTGTCTGCAGGGAGCAGGCTGCTCATGACGCTTGTCTGTTGGTTCAGCAGCCCTGGGGAGAAGCATCTGGAGGAGACTGGTCAGTGTGATGAGAGCAGGTGGGAAGTCTGTGGGTTGTAGGCTCCTGAGAGGCAGGGAGGGATGCCCCAAGCAGAGCCAGGCTTCTTGGGAAAGCCCCTCAGCCTGGGATGGCACAGGGCCACCTTGCTTTGTCAGCTGGGCTTCTATTTGTAGTAAGTTTCATGCTAGGAAGTGCACTCTGCTTATAAACACGGTCTCAGCCTCATTGAACCATCAAGGTGTGAGAGGAGGGGAGGTGTGCCCAGGTCAGTGTCCCTTCCTCCGGTCCCTAAGCTGCTGGGAAAATATTTTAGCTGAAGTGTGGTAACGTTGCCAGTTAGCCTGCTGTGGTTTTGTGCGTGTCCTAAACCTGTGCTCTGTGCAGACTGCTTCAGGAGTCATTTAGGCACGTGCACGCTTTAATTCACATCCTAGTGATGGGGCCAAAAAGGAAAGTGCTCCTCCTCCTGCTTGCAAGACTTCCCCAGTACGGATGGTGCTGAAGGCACCCTCGTGAAGCGTGGAGGCAGTGTGCTGTAAGTGCCCCTGGAGTGGTAATTAAACAACGTACTTAAGTGTTTTGGGTAGAAAAGTTTTGCTGGATTATCCGTGTCGTTAAGTACAGCGGGTGCCTAAGTGGCTCTGAATTGGGGCTCCGTGCAGTTGCCTCCCTTCCCTCTTGTAACTTGCCTCTCGCAGTGCTTGTCTGGGGTTCTTTAAGCTTCAGTCTCCCTCCTGGAAAGGCAAATTTCGCATTCCTAATGACGCTCAGCAGGAATGGATGTGCTGGGAGGGGAGGAGTCCCTGGAGGAGTCACAGCCACAGCAGGAGTTGATCCCAAAGGCTGGATGGTGAGCGGGGAGCTCTGCAGGGCCGGGCAGCTGTATGGGGTCAGCCGAGGTGCCTTGCACCCAGACCCGTGCTCAGCCACAGCTGGGCTCCCAGCACCCGTGGCTCGGGCATTTCCT